ACACACACACACACACCAGGAGTGGGCACGGCCAGTAGAGTGGCGAGAAGCAGGCCTGGCCACGACGCGCACGTGTAGGCGTTGCTGGCTGGGCATCTGGGAGCCGCGCGCGCCCAGCGCGGGGCCGATCGTGGGCTGTGCTCCGAGCGTGCAGGGCGCTCTCTCCCCGCGCGGGGGCACCAGAGCCCTCGCAAGTGTCAGACACTGCGGTGCATTTTCCCAGGTCCCTTTTAAATGACTGCGGAAAAACAGGCTCCGAGTCGCAAATGGGAAGACTGATGGTCAGATACTGCTCACCAGTGTCCTGCAGCCATCATTTACCTGCGCCCGCAGAGTAGTTACGGTCTGATCCCCGGACCCCGCGGGATCGCCTCACCTTTCCCCAGGGAGCCCCCGAGGCTCTGCCCGCGCCGGGCATCTAGATAGCTGGCTGCTTGGGGTGCTCCCGGGAGCGCGGGCGCAGTGCACGCGTTTGCGCACCCAGGCGCACCCACGAACACGCGCAAGGTACGGCTGGGGAGGCCCGGCTCCGGGGGCCCTGAATAGGGGTGGGCCTCGCGGGGGAGTGAACTGCGTCTTGCTAGGTTCAAAAAATTAACAAACGACGGGGCGACGCACGTGAGTCAGGCCATGGCTGCTTCCGCGCTCTTAAGAAACCCACCCCCACGCAGCGGGCGAGCCCCCTCTCCCTCTCCTGGCTCTATCTTCAGGGCGTGTGGTGGCCAAAACCGGCAGGAACCCCTTCCTCTGCGATGACACCAAAGGGAAGATCTTCCCAAACCTCTGATCTCCCAAATAGGTGGCCTAGGACTTGGGGGGGAGGGGTGTAGGGGTGTAAGGGCGGCGAGGGGCGGTAAACCTTCCTTACTAATGCAGAACACTTTGGGGATTTCCAGTATTTGTTTCATTTTAGAATAGCGTGTCCCTCTTGGCCAAGGTGGCCAAAGCGAACCCAGGGAGGAGGGGGAGGAAGGCTTCCTATCCGAAGAATCCGCGCACTGTTTTAGAGCTGGACCGAGCCCGGTTGCCATTTCCCAAAGGGAGACTGCGGCCGGCGCGGTGGGGGTAGAGACCCCGGCGTGGATCGGGGACCCAGCGGGGGAGTGGGCTGAGGCGTCCAGGGAGGACCGGTCCATCGCGGAGGTACCTGCATCTCTGCGCACTCTCGCCTCCACATAAGAGCGAGCGTCGACGGCCGCGGCCGGGCCGTGGGCGGGCGCGCGCGCGCGTGGACTCCCACGTGCGGCTGCCGTGGGTTCCGGCCCGTGGCACCGGCACCTCGCTCCTCCCCCCTCGCCCCCAGATCCCCTCCCCTCCCTGGTGCTTTTGTCTGGAGGGTGCCCGGGCTGGGTGTGTGGACGAGCGGGTGCGTTTGGGGATTGCAGACTAATTTTCGGGAGTTTCTGCCCCTGCTCTGCGTCAGTCCCCACGTCACTTCGCCAGCAGTAGCAGAGGCGGCGGCGGCGGCGGCGGCGCCTCCCGGAATTGGTTTGGAGCCGGAGTCTCGCTCGCGCCCTCGCTCGCGCTCTGCGCCGCTCAGTCGGCAGCCGGAGGAGCCTGGACCCCGGCGCCGCCGACAGGCTGGAGGCGCCAGAGCCGGGGTGAGCAGCGTGGGCAGTGCCCTTGGGCGCCTCGGCCCTCACTCTGCCCCCGGGGGTGGGGGGGCGGCCTCAGTTGTTCCCCAGGTGGGACTGCCGCACCACCTGCCCCAGCCCTCGCATCCAGCGGCGGCGGCGGATTCTGCAGCATCATTCGGGTGCCCCATCGCGGAGCCAGCGCCGCCGGCTGGCAGTCTCCGTGTCCCCCTTCGGCGGGTCCTGCGTCCGGCCTGTGCCCTGGAATCTTGGTCTGGGGCGTCAGTGCCTTGGTGGGACAAGTTGATTTCCAGGGTCTGGAGAGGGGCCCTCATCCATCCAGGGTCTCCTGGTTGTGGTCTGGGTGCAGGGTCAAGGAAGCATGAAGGGGGAATGAATGCTCCAATTCTTGCTGTAGGTGTTGGGGGTGGGGGTCTTCCGCTCAGGCTCAGGTGTGTTTGTTTGTCTTCAGCTTCCAGGCACGTCCCTGGTCCCGGAGCGCCTTTTGCCAGGAGCCTGCACCCCAGTGAACCCCGGAGAGCGCCGCCGGCGGGTGCTCCCAGAGCCAGGCCATGCAGCGGTGGCCACGACAGAGCTTGGAGCGGCGGTAGCGCCTCCTGTGTGGCGGTCCACGATGCCCCAGCCACTGTGAACAGTGCCCTACCCAGCCCTGGAGACGCTTGCCTCTGCTTGCCCGTGTGACCAGCACCAAGGAATCCAGGGACCCAGGAGCGCAGCGAAGGCCGCCCAACGCGTGCAGAGGAGGCCGACCCGCACAGCGCAGGGCACATACTCAGGCTGACTGGAGCTGGCACTGGGGGCTAGGGATGTCATCCTGGACTAGGTGGCATGGACCCGCCATGTCGCGCATCTGGGGTTTCTGCTGGCTGGTGGCTGGCTTGTGGAGGGCTGCGCTCGCCTGCCCCATGGCCTGCAAATGCAATGCCTCTCGGATCTGGTGCAGTGACCCTTCTCCTGGCATCATGGCATTTCCACGGTTGGAGCCTAATAGTGCAGACCCTGAGAATATCACGGAAATGTGAGTTCCTGGTATTTTTCTCCTTAGCTTCTTCCCTCAGCTCTGGTGTCTGGGCCTGCCAGGCTACTTTCAGTGTTTCAGTGCATGGGTACTGTCCCAAGTCCGGGGAGACGTCCCATGAGAAGAGATGGCGAGCAGGGCCAGTTACTTGACTTGGGCGGGCTGCTAGTGAAAGGAGAAGGGTGATACTTTCAACTTAATGTGTGTATTCCTTACAGAAAGAATTCCACATATACTTCATGTCTCAAAGCCTTGTTTGTGTGTGCTTTCGGCTTTTCATATGTATATGCACTAACTGAGTTTGGGATCATTTTGTTTCAGAAGATGTTATGTTTGTGTTGTGTTACACATTCCAGTACTATTTAATAGAAAGGAAGTTGAAACAATTCCCTTTTTGCAATCATTCGAAGGGCGTCTTGCCCTTAGTATCTTTCTCTGACGTTTGGAGCTAGCCAATTTCCCTTTTCATTTCATAGATCAGATTTTGCTTAGGAGATTACATCCACTGAAAATGATCGGTAAGAGGAGAAGTTCTGAGTGTTGAAATGCATTCACTCCAAAGAGAAAATGTGATAGTTAGGACCTAAAAGCCTGCTCTTATTTAATTTGGGCTTGACTTCCCAGAGATATAATTTGAGACCATTTGGATTATACATCTTTATTGCCTATTGAACAATTTCCTGGGATTAGATTGAACTATGCAGTGTGTGCTGTAACTTGATGAATGCTGTTTTGAGCATGGAACCCCTGTGCTCCTGGAAATGTTTGTGTTTGCCCAACCAAGTCTGCTGCAGAAGTCAAATAGTGGGTTTCAGCTTCTCATCCAAGGGCGCCTTGTGACAAATAAATTAACAAGCAGAAACTCATCAGTCTTTACCATTTCTCTATCACCTCTATTAGAGGGGTTTTGTTGTTTGCTCTAAGTACTTTCATTTCATTTCATTAACACGAGATTTTATTCCGTGCAGAAGAATGTAAGACAAAGTTTCTCCTGGTTTTCCTTATGGCATTTGATGCTGAAATAGGCAGAGCTGAAAGTAGGGCTTGGGTTGTGGCCTTCCAGTTGGTGAGTGGGCATGCATCCCCCCTCCCCCTCCCCCTCCCCAAAATGCACAATCCTGCCTCTCAACATAGTTGACCAAGATAACCTGGTTTATCATGTAAGTAAGCGCTCTCTCTGGTCTCTGCTGCTGTTGTGCTGGTGATGCTCATGTTAGAAGGCGTGGACAGGCAGAAGGAAATGACAGCAGAACGGAGAGGAATGTGCAGGCCTAGCATAGCTGAGGTCTGCCTGAGCCACCAACTGCCAGACTGCTTCAGGAGGCAGGATCTCAATCTTTTAGGCAAGAGGATCAGCTGGAAGGGCCAGGGCATGGGTAGAGTTCCAACTGTGCTGGACTTAGCCTGGCAGGTTAGACTGGCCCTGGAGTATTTCAGGATCGGCGGCATTTTACCAAGATGTGGTGTCAGTATTAGAAAGAGGAGGCCGGATGGATTGCAGCATCCTTAAGACTATTTGGAGATCGCAGCATGTGCCTTTATGCAGCTAGGTATTTTGTTTTGTTTTTAAATTCTGTTATTAGAGAACAGATGCAAACTGAAGGAGGCAATGAGATTAGACTGAATATTTTACGTTCCTATTTTTAAGGTCCTAATCTGGGGAAAAGAGAATAAGAACTGTTAAATTAAAAAATTAATTTTAAACCTTAGTAGTCTCAGCTGGCTCATATATAGAAAATCTAGATCTTATCTGAGGCTTTGGACATTGTCGCAGTTTCATGCTATGATGGCAGATTCTCTGTTAAGACTTTTAAAAATTGGTTTTTAAAATATTTACCAAAGCGCTTGCCAAAGCTATTCATTCTGTAATGGCCTCCTACTTTCTGAGCCCCAGCTCCTTTTTACCCCTTTTTTGATTTAGAAAGTGTACTGAGACTGAGGGAATTCAGTGATGTAAGAGGGTATGTTTAGGCAGGAAATTAGGTTACTAACATGTGGTTAGATAGGTGTAAGTTCTCAGGAAAAAAAGCCCGTTTTTTTTTTTTTGTTTTTTTTTCTGTTTTGACCCTCTAGTTTTTCTGAGCTTAGCCTCTTTGTGCCCCCGTCTCTTTATCTTGGAAACCTATCCCAAACTTTGTTTGGAAAGCACACCCTCTATTTTGGATTCTACTTTTTTGATATCAAATTGACATTCATGCATGGGCTTGTTTCACTCTCATCCCTTATATGACACCCCCTGGGCTCTCTTTGTTGCCTGTTAATATTTGCTCAAACAGCTTTTAAAAGTACCCAGTGGTACTCCCCCAAGTAACTTGTTGTAGTGTAATGGTATTTTAATAGAGTTACATGTTTGATTTCTTTTTTTAAAAAAGAAGAAGAATATATGCAAGTTGTGTTAGACAGGGTTCTCTAGAGAGATAAAACCAGATTGCTGATAATCCCACTTGTGTTTATGGGCGAGGCTGGCACAATAAACTTACTATCTCACAAGTAAAACGTGATAAGAACTTACTGGAGCAAAAGTTTACAATGGAAGGAAAAGTAAACCCACCACACCCTTTAGGTAGAACCAACAGGAGAACATTTTCAAAATAAGTATATAGGTGCTTATTTATTTATTTCTACATTCATATTTTAATCCAAACTGACATTTCCCACCCAGAGTCATTGTTTTGAAGCTTGCTTGTTAAAAATTTTCTCATCACAGTATCTGTCTCATACTCTTTAGTGTGATCTGGGTTTAGAACTAGACCTGTCCACAGATACATATCGACCAATAGTGTGAACTGGGTTTAGAAATATACCTCTCCATTGATCCATATCACACTGCTAGATTACATTTGAAGGCAGTACCATTGTCACATCTAAGTGGAATTCAAGAACAGTCTGTTGTCAGAATTATGTGACTGGACACTAAAGTCCCAAAGTGCCAAAGTGTATCACGTTGACAAGTTCTGTCTCACCCAACTGGTACAAGTCACAGGTGAAATAGGTCAGGCCGTTTCTATTGTATGCCTTACATTTCAAAGACGAATGATCTTTTTCCTCGTTGAATTTCTTGGGTGATGTTCTCTGACTTCGGGATAGTGTCTGGAGACCAGTCTACAATTTTGCCGCTTAGTGCCACATACATGGAACTTGCAACTTCGGTTGTCGCAGTTGGTATGCGAGATGAACTATTGGCTTGGTTAATGCTATGGCATTAATACATGGATTGTAATAAGCATTGCCTTTGAAATGTATTGTACGGAAAGCGAATCAAAACAACAACAACTAAAAGAAACCCCCTAAACAAATATACTCTGGCGTTCACAAGGATTCAGTGAAAGGCATCGGTTTCAATTATTTTGATGGTTATTTTTCAGTCTGTCCTTTGGGGTTTTTAGAACTTTGGATTGTATTTCACATGCATTTGAAAACCACAGAGTAAATTTTGAATGTGGTTATATAAGACACTTTGGACTTGTTAATAAATAAGGCATCTAATTTATATCATTCATTATTCAGTACTACTTGCAAGATGGGGTTGAAAGCACGCTGTCTTCATAGTGAAGGCCTTTATTGAATTCAAGTCTGCACAGCCCATTGGACTCTTTTTAATTCCATACCTTTGGTCTCTGCAATATGGAGACTTCTATTACACTGGGTCAAACAAGTGAAAAGCTCTGTGACCTTTCTGACCCTGCTTTCTTCCACTTACCCCTCTCCATCAACATCATTTGACTATACAGGAAAATGTGCTTGATTTTTTTTCTGTCTCTGAAAAGTGATATTTCCTTATGGGAATTCAAAGCACTAGAGTTAAGAGAAGCGCCTGGGTTATGTCATTACCAGCACAAGTAATGGGAAGCTAAGACATTGTGGTCACGGCTTCTCAGCCCTGAGTTTAGGTCTATTTAAGGCCTTTTAGTATTTTTTTGGTCCCCTGAACCTCTGCTAGTGTCTGTTTCAATAGTCCTTGTAAAGATTTTGCAAGCGGGAAAGTTGGCTGAACAGCTGCGGGTTGAGGGCCCTTTCTCCCTAGGAACATTCCGTGTGATCTCTTTGATGATATCTATGTGGGAGGAATAGAAGACCAAGGGTTTTTTGTTTAGCTAGGCAAAGGGAATTGAACCACACACTCCTCCCCCATCCCCCCACCACCTTTTCTTCTCTTCTCTTCCCTTTTCTCTTTGATAATGGGGGTGCAGAGCTTGAGTACTAAGCAAGTGCCTCTAGTTTTAACTCATTGCTCATCTTGCCTGTTAGGTAGTGAAACATTATTGAACCATTATTGATAACTACGTGATGACATTACTTTATCCCTCTGGCTAACTTTACTCATTACTACTTCTCTAGAGAGCTTTTTATAGGTTCAAAAGCTGTAGGGCAGGATGTGGTGTTGCACCTGCTGCCCCTTGAAGTAATGCCAATTTCTGTCCCCTCTTGCCCACTATAAATCAATAGAGGGTTTGGAAACCAGATTCTTTAGGCATGGCAAACTTTATGCTTGCTGCTTGATGTGTGTATGAGACAGGGGGAGAGAAATTACAGACAAAAACAGATAAAAAATGGCACCTTGGGTTATTAATAGTTGAGAGATCATCTGTAATCTACTTGGTTGAGCTATTTTAAAACACAAATCCCTACCCCTGCCCCTCTAAATGGCAGAGAGCTCAGCCCGGTCATGACTTGATAGCTTTAGATTTACATTTGATTTTTGATTGATCTGCATTAAAAAAGAAAAAATGAACACATCATCAGAGTGACTTCTTGTCTTTTACTTTGCTCTCTGGGGTGTCCAAAGGAGTGAGAAGTTGTAAGTATCAATTTGAGAGATGAATAAATGAATGCTGTGGATGTCAAAAAATGCTGAGAAGAAAAATACTGTATAGACACGACATTCTTGACTTCTGTTCTTAAACAGCAAGTACGTGAGGGGCAACTGGTATCTAGAGACTTGAGAATAAGTCCCAGTGTTGGTGCTGAGTCATTTGGGCGCATGATGAACCCCTGTGTGC